AAAATTTTTCCTATAATGATGCTACGAGTTTTCTCTATAGCTACTTGAAGGAAAACTTATGGAAAACTTAATGTTGTGTGTTTCATCCTTAATTATAAACACAAAATATTTTATGATTTTTCAACTTCAAAATTACTTGCAAATTTTCGACAGATTTCGTAAAAATTTGAACTATAAACGCTTATAAAAAAAAATGGTGACTAACGATTTTAAATTATTTTTAGCTACAATAAGAACAACTCATAAGGAACCTTATATTAAATTTTCAAGTTTTTTTGGTCATCTAAAATTTTTTTACCGATACTTCAAAAAAAATGATCATAAAAATCGAAAATTTCAGTGGTCTAAAAATATCTTTAAAAAAGTCAAAAATTTGTGAAAATTAAACTGTATATAGATAACACTAACATCAATATTTGGTGAAAATTTAAAGTATTTACAGTGATTAGTTTTTGAATTACCTACAATCATATTAATAAATCGATTTGGTGGAAAACTGGTTTTGCGTAAAAATAAATAACGGTCAGGTTAGAATGATTAGATAGAAAGAGTGGCTAACCTAACAGATTTGTGAATAATATTGATTGACGATTGTTATACATAATATATGTGATCCAAAAGCTTCGAAAGAGATTTCGGCTTACACTCGAATCTTCGTTAGAGCATGATAATTGGTTGAACACATGAGAGTATAATAATATTTCGTGGTTGTTTTTTTTTTTTCAAATAATAATAATATTTATTTCCTACATTAATACTGTATTACATAGATAACATATTAACATTGATAAAATAGTAAATTAAAATATTGTTGGTCACCTCTAAGCAGCGGTGGCTGTGCGGAGGTGAATATTCTCCATCTGAGCTTAGAGGCGCCGACTTTTAGATATTAGCGCGGGGGCAAACTCTTCTATGAAGTGAAAAAAAATTCTATAGTATGCTGTTGTTTGCTTACTGGGAGGAGTAATTACCAAATTGTCCCTTAACTCTATTTTAATACTCCTCTAGGGTGCTATAAATATATTTGTTTATAATTTATAAATAATATTATTTGAATTGAAAATTTTTAGTTTATATACTATAATGGTAATAAAATCAGTTCCGTCTCTATATCTCGGGAAAAATTGAAATGACAGATGTATTTTTAGACAAAATATAAAACCAAATAGTAGTGAGCGTCGAGCGATCTATAGTATTTATAGATCATATTTAGGTAATAAACAAATATCCAACCGTCGATGTTCTAATGAATATTTTCATGTTATAATCTGGTATTTTAACCAATTAATTATTATTGTACACAACGGGGCACGGTGGCGAAATAATACTTTTGCCCCCGTTAAATCAATGTACGGAGGCGATGGCCCCCTTTGCCCCCGCGGAGTCGGCGCCTATGTCTGAGTTGATAACTATTGAGTAGTCTGATCGAGATAAATCTAATATGTTCAAATTAAGTAAAGCTAATACAAAGTGCGATTATTAATTATTAGATCTAATGAAAAATAGATTTTATGAAAATAAAAATATTCTCCTTAACGTGGTGAGATACTACATTAGTTACAGTCATGTATATAGTATTGCATGTATTCTACAAGGCTTTATTTTTACAAAAAAAATGTAGTTTTTATTTAAATATTTTCGTAATAGTCACGATGTTGATTTTTCTCTTGGTTTTGAGTTTCAGATCGACATTCTTGTTACGTTCGAGTCTTGAATGCGTTTAAATGGTAAACAGTATTTTGTTTTTAAATAGTAATCACTCGGTATATTAAATGTCTAAAAATATAACCTATAATTTGTTTTAAATTTTATGCAGGTAGCATAGTTTTATATAGTATTAATATTTCAAAATTATGCTTTTATTGCCGAACCTTAGAATTCTTCAGCCTTAGAATTTTTATTTTTTTAATATTACTTTATTTTTAATTTTGTTATTTAAATCAAGTGTTGGAATACATAAATAGATTTATACGTTTCTTTCTGGAGTTCTTTCTTGATTATTGGTTGGTACCTAAACAATTTTCGTTTCATAAAATATATATATAACGAATTACCTACACGAATCGTAATTATTATCGATTTAGTTCTATAAAAAACTACCATATTAATTATGCCGATTCTATAACTTACCTTTTAGATACCTATTCTATATGTCATTAATAAAATAATAATTATGAAATGATTAAAGACTTATTAATCGATAGGTACATAACCGGTTGTAATATTAATAAGTTGTGATTAATCTAATTTAAAGTTACAATACCGTTAAATTAATGCGCCTTCATTTAACAATAACTA